CATTAATTTAATACATTAATATATATGTGCATATAAATTATTTTTAATTTTAGAAAATTCATGTATTAAAATCAAATGTAAAATAATGTAGATTATAAAATATTTAGTATTTCCTAACAAATATTTTTTATGAAATATTTATGAAAAAAAATAAATATACACATTTTATTTGTACATGTATTTTGCAAATTTGTATAAATAAAAAAAATCCACATTTATTTACCACACAAGTTTTTTTTAATTTTTTTTTTATATTTAGTTAGTAGTTATTAGCCCGACACTGTGCTTCAGTGTTTTAAACTGAATCTGACCTGTTCTCTTGTGTATTAAAACAGCAACAGGACGGTTTAAGTGCTCAGTTCAGCCAGATGAATCTCATTCGGCAGCCTTCGGGTGACGCTCCGGACCCCCACACAGGCCTCTACCCACAATCCCTGCTGCTCCAGAACCCTCCGCCCACTGGCTACATGCTTTCATCGGCAGGACAGCCCATGAGCGGTCACACTTACCCCCATCTCACAGCCATCAATCAAGCGGTCCTGCAGCCGCACGGATACATCCAGCAGCCCGTGCAGCAGGTACAAACCCACGTTCATGGTACATGACCTGCATCATGTGACCACAGGTGAGGGTTTACGTGTGTGTGTTTCTGCAGGTGTCGGCGTGTTACTGCGCCCCGGGACAGTATTCACACTCCACCCAACACTACAGAGCGGTGACGCCGGTACACTACAGCGCCCCCCAGAGTCAGACACTGCCACCGCAACAGACAGGTACAAACACGCTTCCTGTCTGAGTGGGCACTTCCTGGAAGGGTTTTCTGATTGGAGCGCTGGGAGACGGGGCCGTGTCACTGTATGAGATTCGTAGTCATTCTCACAGTGAACCGGTCTCTTTTCCCAGCCCTCACTCCTCAACTCTCACCTCTGACCTATGACCTCCACTGTTCTGCTGGCAGACTTTAATTACTGGACATTGTGAAAATATTCATAAAGCACAGTTCAAATCAGTCAGGTTGAGCCAGAGAAAAACAAACAAACAAATCAAGCAATTATTCATTGCCAGAAGGCTATATTCATGATAAACAAACAATTAACAAACAAAACAAACAGATAAATATTCATGGTCATATCACCAAAGGCTATATTCATAATGCCATATTACCAAAGGCTATATTCATGACAAACCGTAAATATATTAATAAAGTATAAATAAACAAATAAATATTCATTGTCATATTAGCATCGCAGGAAAATACAAAATTAAAAAAGGAAAGTACAATAAAGTATGTAAGAAGGAGAGAAGAAATGCAGTAGCACAAAAATTCAATGTTGAAAAAAGTATTGAATGCCAATTTCTACAAGTTTATTTTTATAAATGTTTCCAGAAATTAACTTCTTTTAATTTAGCTAATTATCATTAAACTAGTTTTTATTACATAGAAACATGCTAATAAGCTTTCAGAGTGCCTTAGCAGCCACATAGCAACACCATGGCAACCATGCATGTGGGTAAGTGCTGCGTGGGCGATTTCCTTCTGGAAATGCACAACCGTGGTTAGAAATGAAATTGGGCTTTTAGTTTCTTTGACGGGTGAGTTTTTATCTGCTTTGCGCTAGGGCTGCACAATAAATCGCATGCGATATTTAACGCGCATCTTGTCAGCAAGGCCGTGTCACTGTATGAGATTCGTAGTCATTCTCACAGTGAACCGGTCTCTTTTCCCAGCCCTCACTCCTCAACTCTGACCCCCACTGTTCTGCTGACAGAGTTTTAGTACTGGAAATTGTCAAAATATTCATAAAGCACATTTAAAATCAACCAGGTTGAGCCAGAGTGCAGAAAACAAACAGATAAATAAATTATTCATTTCCAAAATGCTATATTCATGACAAACAAGCAATAAACGAACAAACAGAAAAATATTCATTGCCATATCACCAAAGGCTATATTCATAATGAACAGTAATTATATAAATAAATAAACAAACAAATACGAATTCAATACTGTATCAACAAAGGATCTTGTCAACAGTGACATTGAAAGACCCCATTTCACATGCGCTTGAGTGTGTGTGTGTGGGGCTTGTATGGTCTAAATCGACAGGCTTTTATTCTCTTCACTTTGGCCTTGCAAGGGCAGGTAAAAATAGCTGTGTACTCAAACACACACACTGGAGAGAACAAGCCGTCCGTTCATCTGTACTGGATCTGATGAGAGCAGAAGTTGGAGAGGAATGAAGAATCACTGGAGGTTAGATGGTCTGTCACCGTATAGATCACAGTCCACACAAAATCCCCACTAGCCTTCTATGACAAAAAAAGAATTAATATTATAGATAATAAAAATGCGCCGTCCCCGCTCGAAATTCACTCCTGTTTATTGAATTAATACAATATATATAACATTACTAAATATATAGTATTCATTAAATATATTTAATAAATGTTATTAAATATTATTACATTAATGCCAATATAATATATTTATTTGTATTCTTATTCTTATTCTTATTTAGATGGTCTGCCATGGTCCACCGTATAGATCCCAATCTGCACAAAAACCCTGCTAGCATTCAAATAAATAAATAATTTTATAGATATTATTATTATAAACCTATGCATTATATTATATTATACATTGTGTTTATATATGTTTTCAGTATTATTAGATATTTAGTATTCATTTATTAAGTGTAATATTTAGTAAACATTATTAAATACTAAGAAATTATTAAATTAATACCAAATAATATGATATACTTTATATTATTATTATTATTATTATGTATAAACCCATATTACAGTATAGATTTTATTTGTATATATATTACATGTTCAACTTTTTATATTAAATGTTTATTGCATTTAATATTTAATAAACATTATTAAATCATTAAATATTAAGTACAACAATAATACAATGATTCATTCATTCAAGCCAATCATTAAAAACCTATTTCTTAAATATTACTAAGTTGTTTTGTATTAAATATTGCAATAATATTATTTCTACTATGTTATTTATACGTATTTTTAGTAGTAGTAGTATTTATAAACAGATCATTATAAACCTTATCAGTCTGGCTCATGGATAATAACATTCATCCAGTCATCATAACCGATTTTCTGGAAAAAGCAGAATAAATAACCGATTTTTCTTATAATGTCCACCAATTTCACAGACATCACAAACTTGCGTATCTAATATTCTTGCTACTTAATGTGCCACAAAACGCATTTGATGCCACAGTCCTTAGTCAGCAACTGTTTTTCCTCAGAATGCCTGCTGTTTCCTCACAAACTGTGAACGCTCTGAGACGCCCATCTGTTCCCGCTCATATTCACACTGTCTTTTACTTCATTTCACGTATTTGAATCTTTTCATAATTAAACTGCGATATTAAAAGTTGTTTACAGCTTTAATGTTGCGTAAATCTCTGTTTTTGCTCTTTGTCGTTAATGTTTTGCTCCCAGATGTTGTTTGTTCGTCGTTGGCTGTTGTTTATGCTAATAAGTTGCTGTCTTAATGTGTTTCCAGGTTTCCAGACGGTCATGCCCGCTCAACCCCCCAGTTACCAGGGCATGATGGGAATTCAGCAGACTCAGAACCAATCGCTGATCGGCTCTCAGGACGGAATGGCCAATCAGATTCAGAGCGTGATGGTGCAGTATCCCACAATGCCTCCGTATCAGGTGAGTGCAGCGTTTTGTGCATTTCTTAATGTTTTTGGGTATCTGAGAGTGATTTTGATGAGGTGACGTGTGCGTTCGGCAGGTGTCTGTGCAGCAGGGTTCTCAGAGCGTTCCTCAGGCAGCCTATCAGCAACAGATCGTGATGCAGGGACAGACCAATCAGGCGCCAGCGCCCTA